TTTGGTATCACACACACACACCCACACACACACACCTACACCCATACAGCAGCAATTTTTCTTGTTTCCTTAGCTATACAGTAAATGCAATAACTACTGTACATGCATGCCCAGACGATGTAATAACATTCGAATCCTTCAGCATAGTATTATCCGGTCTCATCTACAACCCCAAGGCGACAGCCTAAACATCTTATTCATCAAGTATGTGCAGTGATTTTTGTACATAATGCACGTGTATACTCTAGTTGTAAATCCAATCCATATTAAATATTTAGCTAAAAGGTAATAAAATAATTTAAATTATACAAGAAAAGACCTTTCAATTTGAAACCAGAGAATATGCCCAATTTCGACAACTAAAGCAATTATTATTTGGAAAATTCAGATAAACCACATTGATTAATAATTATAAGAAGAGTCAAAGAAAATGTTTTTAAAAGAAATAATGTATGTAATAAAAAAGAGAGATATACTGTACGTGTTGGTACTCAATTTCAAATTCAAATACTAGGAAGTGTGTAAACAGAGATTGAAGTATACTATACTACACGGAAGTGAGAAATAAATATATAAATTCAAGATGAAATTTAGAGGAAAACATACTTGTTTATTTATTCATATTTTATTCATTGGTAGTACACATTCATAAATATAAGCAATGGCAAAATACTGAGAATTCAGATAAAGCTAACATTTTATTGAAAAAAAAGAACACTTAGATTCATATGTATCAACTATTTTGACTTGGTTTTGACTTGGTAAAAGTAATGTATTTCTACAAATATATACTAAATATATTTATATAGTTTATTATCTTATATTAAGGGATACGGTAGTATTGTAGGGAAGTAAGTTAAACAAAACACTGAAAAACAACACAGAAGCGCTGTAATTATTTAAGTCTATAAAATAAAACTATTTAACAAATTCAACAAGGAATAAATACAGCAAGGATGTATTTAATGAATAGAGATCAATCTGTGTATCAATGGTAATTTGATGATAGGTGTAATTGCGATATTGCGTGCTTTCAGAACTGATTAAGAAAATCATAAACTTATACAGTATAAGATAAATTTAAATTACATACAACTATATATTTTTTTATTTAATACAGATTTAAAATGTAATGTGAATAACAAAATCAAAGCTTTATCGGATGTATATTGGATTTTTATACTTTGCTTTGAGGTCTCGAAATCCGGATTAACATTACATCATCGGGATACTGTACTTACATATTATGCCTAAAGCGTCAACTGAGAAGCCCATTTTGTGAACCTCACATGTCAGACACATAATACGTCCTTGTTTCTTTTTCAGACAAACTTGGTATTAGCATTATTCACGTTTAATAGCGAACAATGCTAGTTTGTCTTGCTGGTGATCTCATCGATGAGTAATGCAAACATACCGATAGGTAACTCTTCTTTATAAACAAGCCCATAAGCCGTTTTTATCCTGATTCTGTATTGCATCCATTGTATGCCTCTAAAGATCAAATAAATACATATTGAAATTTAAGTGATTCACAGTAATTTATAAACCACAAACACTGTGCAAAGTACAATCAATTATGATACGAAAAGCAAGATGCTGGAACAAAATTACAATCTAACCTGTGCTATTGTATGGCTCAATAGAGAATACTATAATGATTGTAGTAATTCATGGTTTACCCTCTGTGACCTCTTAAAGTAGTGTTGCCGATATCAAATCTCAAACGGCACTAAACACATGTTGTATGGATTTAGTCAAAGATTTTAACGGCTTTCTCCATAATTTTATAAATCGTCCATGAAAGAATCACAGTGTTCTTTAAATCCCTATCTTGCTCACTTGTCCACCTAAAAACTCATTAAGATCGTATCGCGGTTTTCAAGGCATAGTTTATAATAGATTAGTACCTTAATTTAAGCTATAAGAATGTGCTACACTTAAATCGCCGAAAGATAGGGCCTACATGAACGTTATGCTAACTACACATAATCGATGTTATATCTTATAGAACATTATTGAAATTTATGCAAAGCTTCTAGGTATGAGTCATAATCTTCTGCGCCAAGTGACAGTGTGTGATGTTTAGTAAAGCAACTCTATTTACAAGTAAAATGGGCTCAGTTGTGATTTATGCTCAAATACAAATAGAACAACTTTATACAAATAATCTCCGTGGTTTAAGTATAAAAGCATGCATTTGTGGTTTTCATTATAATACCAATGAAGGGCCCTGTTAAAGTAAAATAAAAACCTACTTAGATTAGGCAAAAACACAATGAAAGAATAGTATGTGTGAACACTGATGGGTAACACTAAGGTTAAATGGTCAAAATTCAGTTTAACTTTTAATATTCCACGATATCACAATTATTAGAATTTCAACGAACTATTGGAGAAAACATTTACGATATAGCAAAAAAAAAATAATATGTAAGGTAGCTTTCACTTTAAATCAGATTTAATTCCTTAAATTGTTTCAAATTACTGTATATTTGATGCAAGTATGAAATAGGAAATGTAGTATTTATTTATATATTTTTGTATAGAGTATTGCAATTTTTAATGCAGAGATTTTCAATCACATATTTTAGTTCGATGTATATCAGTTACGATGTAACTGATATCAACGCGTTTTGTTTTTCACATCTTTATTACCTTTCTGCAAATAGTCTGCTGTATTCCCCCACACTGGCTTTTTAAACGTTAACAGCACTCACTCATATTGTAAGCGGAATTAGGGGGGGGGGGCGCCTGTGACGCGCTCCAACCCCCCCACCCCCCACTTTTTATCACAAAAAAATATTCTTTTTTTTTTTATATAATTGTATGGATACTCAATTCCATAGAAAGGTTGATTCTATGTCACATCGCGCAATGGATAGCTACAGAGAATGTTTAAGTAAGAAAGTACACATATCGCTTCTAAATAATAGATGCCTTTCTTTGTTGTAAGATGCCCTGTAAGAGCTTTTAAGGGCGTACCATTTCAAAAAATCTTCCTTTTTTGGGAGGTGCTTCGTACCTCGGCTGGTCGTCCATCTTTACTTTGACGACCCACCCCCACCTTTTGCTAAATCCTGTATCAGCCCCTGGTGAGTATATCATACCAGGGGTTTACGCCCGTTGCCGTCTGGCCCGATGCCACCTGGTCCTTTGCCACAAAGCCATTTTCCATCCGGCCTTTCTGCAACTGCCCGGGGTAATTTGCTACCCGGCCTTTTGTCTCACCGGCCTTTTACCACCACGGGCCGGTTGCCACCCTCTCATTTGCCACCCGGCCTTTTACCACCTACGCTATTTTCCAACTGGCCTATTGTCTTTTAAGAACTAGAACTAGTGGAAATAGTGATAATAAAAATGAGAGTTGCAATGATGACAATAGCGTCAAATAGGGATGTTAATATACCCAAAATAATGCCAAAAATGAGCATTCACCTTTATGTTGCTGTCTGAGATTTATTTGAGTTTTTTTTTTTTTTTTTTTTTTTTTTCCAAAATAAACTTAATAATTTTTTTTTTTTCAAAATAAACTTAATAAAACTGGACACTATAATACAATTGCTCAATTGCCTTTTACCCAGAAAGCTGGCAAAAGCCTGGTAGCAAAAAAGCGGGGCGGCAACGGGCCTCCGTGGCAACGGGCCTATGGTGGCAAATTGCAGGGTGCCAAAAGGCCGGGTGGCAAATAGCCGTGTGGCAACGGGAGTAGGGTAGCAAATGGCAGGGGGGAAATGCCGGGGGCAACAGGCCGGGTAGTTACATGCCTAGGTGGCAACAAGTCTGGTGACAAAAGATCGGATGGCTAAAGGCCAGGTGGCAAAGGGACAGGTGACAATGAGCCAGAACCCTAATATCTCGGGAGCGCCACTAATAGGGTGACATGTGTAGTGCCAGTAATCGAATGACACCAGTAGGGTTTCGCCAGCAGAGGTGGCCCTAATGGGGGGTAGGAGCAGGGGAGCAAATGTGCTTTTTTTCCCTGGATGTTTGAAGCAGTGACGATTGGTGGCACAGTAACCTCATAAATATTATAGATGGCCGGTCCCTGCTGCTGTTTGAGTATAATGTACCAACTTATTAAGCACTTGTACGAAATGAAATTTGTTTTATTTGACGTAAATATATGCACAAGGCCTACATACCAACAGTGTAACACTAATAGTACTGTAGTTGTAATAGTAATTTTAGACCTACTAATCAAGATAAAAAACAAAATGAAATAAAAAAGCATGAAAAGTGGTAAACTATAATATATTCTATATATAGGCTGTATCTTATACACATCTAGATGTGTATAAGAGACAGATGTTTAAGTAAGAAAGTACACATATC